CCAAGGAGTACTCCCGAGGTTGTTGACCTCGAGGATGAGGTTCGACCTATGCCCTCTTTCCAAAATCAGGATCCTGACTGGTGTCCTCTGGTGTCAAGCATCGTGGACAAGTACAGGAAGGACCTCGGTTTTGATGAGGGCATGAAGGCTTTGGAATCTCTTACTCTGAAGGTAAGCTCGCCCATTCTACTTTGTTTAAAATACAAGGTTTAAAAAGGTTTAAACACTGTGATTATTTTAAGCTCGGGTTTATATGTTGTAGGCTTTGAGCATTGCCCGAGGCCTTTCTCTGAAGGGGAAAGATGAGGCCCAAAAGACCACTGAACTCGAGGACTCTTCTCGAGCACTGGAGAAGAGGATAGCCGACTTGGAGGCTGAACGGTTTCTTCTCCGGAAGGAGCTCGAGGATTCAAAAATGATGCCCATAGAGCTCGAGAAGAGGCTGGAACTGCTAAGGGCGAGGCTGAAGGTTTAAAGCTCGAGATCGAGCGTTTGAAGGTTGATTTTGAGGCTCGCCTGGCTGAAGCTCGAGGGGTCGCGATTGAGGACTTTAAAATGTCCGAGGAGTTTAACGGCCTCAAGGGAGAGTATGCCATAGGCTCGTACTTCCATGCCTTCAAGGAAGCTCGGGCATTTTTGAGATCGAAGCCCGATGCTAATCCCGAGGATCTAAAGCACATCCCCGAGATTGCTGATACTCTCGAGCTGTCAGAGTCCGAGGAAACCGTCGAGGACCAAGAGGTCGATGTTGACGGCGAGGACGCGGTGGAGGAGCAGGGGAGCACAGCCTCGGGAGAAAGGGCCGAGGACTTAGATTAGTTTTTGTTTGTTTTTTGTATGATGATAGCCCTTCCGTTTTGTAATTTGAACATGTATTTTACTCGATGAAGTATTTTCCTTCTGCTGTGTCAATGTATCTCGATCATTCAAATAGCCCGAGGTTAGATGGTTACTCGACGCCTAGAGTAGTGAAACACCTCGAGGACATAATTCGTGAATATTATAACGAACACAAATTCATCCCAGGGACTCAAACTGTAAAATTATTTGGGAACATCATTGTTGACCCCGAGCATTAAGCAAGTTACCACGAGGACTAGATAGTAAAATTATCTTGGAACATCCAAGTGTGAACCCCGAGCACATAGACAAGTTACCTCGACGAGTAAAGAAGATTAATTATTTTCGACGACTAATTAATCATCTCGACGATTGAGAATAACTCAATTTTTAAACAAGTGATAATGCCGAGGACAGTATAGTTTTCTACACACTTAACACTCGAGGATTAAGTTCAAGGGATGGTCGTCCCCGAGGAGTAGGAATAATTGTGACCGACCTTTGCACATGAGTTTATCCCGAGCTTTTATTTTCAGGCTTGGACGAAAATACAAGGATATATGGTCGGGATATATGTCCTCGGTATTTATACTTGTGCTGCACTATTTTGATGTGCTGATTATGAGCTCCAAGATTTTGGTGCTTGCTCGAGGCAAGGCTTTAGACGGCTTGCTCGAGGCCAAGGCTTAAAGGGGCTTGCTCGAGGACAAGGCTTACATTGGCTTGTCAAGGACAAGGCTTAAAGGGGCTTGCTCGAGGGCAAGGCTTTAGACGGCTTGCCGGACGCAAAGCAAACTATCGGGTCGTCATACCCGGGGTTTGGACTTATTAATTGTTTGGACTGGACTTGGATTTATAATGCATCCAAGCTGCCTACGTACCCAAATGGGATCAAGCCGAACGTAGTTCATTACAAAAGAGAACGGAAAACATGCATGGGCACGCAGGCCCGCAAAACTAGAAATAAAATGCAGAAAAAGAAAATCTCCTCAAAGGCATCGGGAATTTTACTTGTAATATATTTTCAGATTGTCGGCATTCCAGGGCCTCGGAAGAGGTCTACCCGAAGTGTCTCTTAGGCTGTATGCTCCTTTGCGAACCTGTCGTATGACCTCAAAGGGCCCTTCCCAGATGGGCCCGAGCTTCCTTGGGGGGTGGCCTGCTGCTTCGGCCCTCCTCAAGACCAAATCGCCTACTCTGAACCTCCGAGCCTTGACTTTGCTATTAAAATATTTTGCTGTCTTAGTTTGGTAAGAGGCCACTTTTATAGCGGCTTGCTCCCGTACTTCTTCCAAGAGATCAAGATGTTCAGTTGTATAGTCCGAGGTTTCTAGCACGAGCCTCCTATGGCTTGGCAGTCTAATTTCCACTGGGACCATTGCTTCAATGCCATAGGCTAACATAAAAGGGGTTTCTCCTGTGGTTGTCCTGTGAGTTGTTCTATACGTCCAAAGTATAGAAGGCAGCTCGTCGGACCAAGAACCCCTAGCATCGCTTATTCTTGTTCGGAGGTCTTGCAATATGATTCGATTTGTTACCTCGGCCAGACCGTTGCTTTGAGGATGCGAAACTGATGTCAGACGGTGATCAATCCCAAGGTTTGAGCAAAAGTTTCTAAACTATTGGTTGTCAAATTACCTGCCATTGTCGGTGATGAGGACCTTCGGTATCCCAAACCTGCAAATGATAGACCTCCAAGCGAAGGCTCTTAGCTTGGGCTCCGATATTGTGGCGAGAGCCTCGGTCTCTACCCATTTTGTAAAGTATTCTACTGCTACAGCAACAAATTTTAATTGACCTCTTGCCACAGGAAAGGGGCCGAGGATGTCAACTCCCCATTGTTCAAACGGGGCCGAACAGTTAATGTTGGTGAGGTCTTCGGCTGGTGAGTGGATAACATTACCAAACCTCTGGCACCTATCACATCTCTTAACATATTCTGAGGCGTCTTTTTTCATAGCTGGCCAGTAGTATCCATATCGTACGAGTTTAAAGGCCAAGGCCCTGGCTCCTTGATGATTCCCGCACACACCTTCATGAACTTCAGCAAGGGCCTGGGATGATTCTGATGGCCTGAGGCACCTTAGGTATGGAAGAGTAATACTTCTGCGAAAGAGGACACCGCTGATCATACAGTACCTAGGAGCTCGGGCTCTGATGCT